GGCCCACTACTGAGCAGTCAAAGGGGGTGAATCTCAGGATGTTAGGCTGAATTAATGAAGCCAGGAACAAAAGGCATAAGGCTGCAAGGTAGCACTTACAGAGACTTTAGGAAAGACAAATCTCATCTATAGGGACCAGTTCCCAGTTCCCACGGACCAGTTCCCAGCAATGGGTACTTACAGGAAAGGAACCCAAAAAGCCCTTTTGGGATAATGGGGTATTCTAGGTCTTGGTTGCCATCACGATTACACACACACACACACATATATAACATACACATATATGCAATTTGTATGTGTAGAGTGTGTGTGCATTTTATTGACAGTAAACAGCAAAAAGGTGATTCTTTAAAATCAAAAATACGCTGGCATGTTCTGTTTCATTGTGTTCATCCCATTTCATGTTGTCCTGAAAACTGTAACACTGGTTGCCTCTGGGAGGAAACTGGGTAGCCAGAGACGGGCGTGGGAAAGAGATTTTCAAAACGTTTACTCTGTTTGCTTTTTAAACTTTTGAACTGGGAGGCTATGTTAGTTGTTTTTAAAAATAAATAGAATTGTGAATTAAGAAAAAGAATTTTGAAAATGTGTTGTTCATTGGTACAGAGTGGGAGTATGACCRGAGGCCCTGCCTGCCCCGGGTCTGAGAAACTCTTTGTCACCGGATCTATTCCAGTTGCAGAAACCCTGATTTTTGAGATGGGCACTCTGTGTGGTCTGTATTTTATCAAACTCTTGAGTGAATATCAATGTTTTAGCTTTTTTTTCATATTTTAGGCTTTTTCATAACCATATCATAGATAAGTGTGGGTGTGKGTGTGTATCTGTTCAAGAATGCTCAATCATTTTGGTGGTTTTATCTCCTATGGGTGTATCCTTAATCAATTCTGTGCACTTTGGGRCATTTTAAACTTTTAAACCGAATCATCTGGCTGGGTGTGGTGGTGCTCACTTACAGTGCCAGCTAGGCAGTTCCTTGGGAGGATGAGGCAGGAGGACAGCCTGAGCCCAGGGGTTTAAAGTTTAAGGTCAGCCCTAGGCAACATAGAGAAACATGGTCTCAAAAAAAAAAAAAAAAAAAAAAAGAATCATTCTGCTAATGTTATTTTGTGCTTCTTTGCCTCAAATAACCCTTGTAAAATCTGCCCATGGTGGCTGCCTTCAGTTGCTGTCTATCTTACTGTTCTACAGCAATCAATCCATGGTAGAAATGAACCAATCATTTATTTAGTCATTTTCCAGGGCTGGGGTTGTGGCTCAGTGGTAGAACACWTGCCTAGCAAGTGTGAGGCACTGGGTTCGATTCTCAGTACCTCATAAAAATAAATTWAAAAATAAAGGTCCATTGACGACTAAAAATATATTTTAAAAAATATTTTCCATACTTTTAACAAGGCATTTTTTATTGCCCCCATCACCTACTGCAAAAATAAATCCAAACACTCGGCAAACTCTTCAGGCACCACTGTCCCCCCAACATGTCCTGTTGTCACCTAGACAGCCTCATGTCCCTTGTCCACTCACTGCTCTCTGCCAGCTCATGTGGCCATCACAGCCATTTATTTGCGATACGGCTGAAATACTCAGCACACCTGCAAGGTGCTCCCCCTCTGGTTTTATTCCTTAGRGCTGGACCACTATTGCCCATGAACCAAGTCTACCCAAGCCATTACTGTCCATTAAGGTCTGGTTTAAGCATGATCTCCTCATGAAGAGATCTCCTTACGAAGTCCCCACAATATTTCCCAACCACAATGCCACTGTGCCTCCCAAACTCGAGATGAACGGTCCTTTCCAGAAGCTTCTACCACCTTTGCTTCATGCTGACTTGAGTTACAGCCTCTTGTTAGGATGATGTCCCAGTTTTTGTCTTTCTAGGGCTTGGCACTAAAATCTTGCRGGTAATGGGTAGGTGATGAAAGTCCTTCCAGTAACTGCTGGCACAGGCACTAAATCATTCAAAAATTATATGTTTAAAAAGTTAATTTCCACAAAAATGAAACAACACCAATTRAGGTGAAAAAAATCACTGTTGATCAAGATAGGATTGGGGTTCTYCATATTTCTAACATTGATCTTTTTTCTATTCTCACAGAAAATGCAAGCTTTMGAATTCCTAGGAGAGAAAATGTTTGAGTGTTATACAATTTAAGATCATTTGATAAGAAATACACTATTTAAAAAACCTTTCGACTTTGAATAGCCTTTTAAACCTGGATGGGCAAATAAAGGAGRGAAAACTCCAAAATTTTAATGAAATCAAACTCCAGTGAATTATGACACAAAAGCAACAAATATTTCAGAATCTAAAGATCAGACCAGGCACAGTGGTATGTGCCTGTAATCCCAGCAGCTTGGGAGGCTGAGGCAGGAGGATCTCAAGTTCAAAGCCAGCTTTAGCACCTTAGTGAGGCCCCTAAGCAAYTTAGAGAGAYCCTGTCTCAAAATTTAATTTTTTTTTTTTAAAAGGGGCCAGGGGATGCAGATATGGTACAGTGCTTAAGCACCCCTGGGTTCAACCCCTGGTACAAAAAAAAAAAAAAGAAGAAGAAGAATTTAAAGAGCAGTATTTTTATCTTTCTGTCAAAGAAAATACATACCTGGAATGCAGATACTGTAAACAGGAGAAGAAATAAAACAAATRAGATTATAACTAGGTTGAATGTCTGGCCATTGTTTGCCTCTGTAACAGTTTTTATTTTAAAAATATATATATATATATATATACACACACATACAGATGGAAGACATCACTGCATAATACCAAATATGCCTTTCAATTATTTTATGTCAAAACCATTATTTTCAATAGGTGTTATTAAACAATGCCTCATAAATGTTGGGATATGGCTCAGTGGTAGGGCTTGCCTAGCATGCACCAGGCCCTGGGCTCAATTTTCAGCACTACAAACCAAAAGAACACATCATAGAAAAATGTTTATAACTTATAGTTACAGAAATTAGGCTACAGTCTTTAATATTAATAGAGCTCTAAAAGTCAATAAAAGACAAATGGCCCAATTGAAAAATAGATGAAGGTTATTTATAAACAGATAATGCAGTCAAAACATAATTATAGTAGCTYCTGAACATAATAAAATAAATATTTGATCTCAGAGAAATGCAAATTAAAAATCATGCTGGGATATCCTTTTCCACCTGTAAGATTTACAAGATCAAAAAGTTTCATAAAATATTCTTGGCAAGAGTATAGAGAAACAGGCACATGGCTGGTAGGAGTATAAACTGGTAGGACCCCAGCAAATGCAATATGGTGAGATCCTTTAAAATTACAAGTGCCCAACCCCTGGGAACTAGCAGCTTCACTTCAAATTTAACCTTCAAAAACACTTGTACACATGCAAAATGATGTATGAAAAAGACCATTAGTTTTAATAATGGATTTGCAAAAGCTTGGAAATTATCTTAGTGACTCCATAGGACACAGATTAAATATTTGAGACATACTTAACAAAAGAATTCTATGCATCTGAGAAAGAAAATGGAAGGGATCACCATGAAAGAAGAGTAGCAGCCCATATGACATTCCATAATTTGCAAAGAAAATTGTGTATTTGCTGAAATAGGAACTTATCTGCAAAGATACGCAGGAAACTGGCAACATTGGTTGCCACTGGAAGAAAATGGGAGGTCTGGGACTAGCGTGGGAAAGACATTTTCAAAACACTTATACTTTTGTACCTGTAGAATTGTATTGATTACTTTTTTAAATAAATAAAAAAGTAAACTTTTTTATTGAACTTTTGAACTGAGGAAYTGTATTAGTTACTTTTTTAAATAAATAATTTTTTWAAAATTAAGAAAGAAAATCTAAAAAAATTAAAATGTTGGGTGTTTTTTGGTGCAATGAGTAAGACACAGCCCTAAGACTATTGGCCACTGTCCAGCCTAGCACAATACAGTACATCTTCCTTATTTGAGGGTTCAGGCAACTTCGTAAGAGGATAGAATAGACCTGGAATAAACTGGAGAAACACCAGTGGCTAGAAGACTCAGGGACCCTGACAAGACACAGCTTGTTTTAAGAGAAAACCAGGACTAGCATGAATCTGCAGAAAAATCTTCACAGTGATCAAGTTAATCTAGAAAAATGACAGCCTATGTCTCTATTGTGCATTTATTTATTTCCCAACTTTAAGGTTAAGAAATCTATGTCCTGTAACAAGGTATTTGTTAGTAAAACTGCTTACTCTGCACTTTGCAAAGAAAGGTTTTCTCTGCTCTCAGTCACACAGGTAACAGATGAGAGAGGCCTTCCATGTCAGACACTTCCCTTCTCACCTGTGAAGACGGCTTTTTGGAAAAACAGATCCATTGTTCAGGGCTATTAAAAGAACATGCCCATGTATTCTCTTGGGACTTTACCTGGAAATATGACTGTTTTCCACACCTGGGGGGGTGGGGTGATGTGCATAATTCACCTGTTTGTTTGCCTCCTATTTTCTCACCAGGGAGCAAAGACAGTAAATCCAACCCTCCAGGGGAAGGAAAAACAAATCATTCAATGCCCATCCCTGGTGGCTGATAAAGCCAGCAGTCTTGAGAGTGTACCTAAGCTGGTCCAGATATGCCTCTGGCGKGCAAGAATGAACACAAGTTCAAACACCTTTGCTCCTGCATGCATGGAAGAGCAGGTCAAGACCTGTGAGTTTCAGAAAGCCTAAGTTTTCAAGTGTGCTGGGAACATCTGTAGGTACAGGTGCATGTGGACTGCAGACCACCTCGCCTCTGAGCCTGGATGCACACACGGGGGGAGGGTGACAACTCTGTACAGACAAGTGAGTCTTTGAGGAAAGTTGAAGTAAGTATCTACCTGTTTGAGAAAGGTTGGGTGAGAAAGTGAAGCAGGGTTGACACTTAGTCCGCCGCAGTATASGGCTTTCGGCCCCGCACCCGGCCCTGGGCACCCCCTCTTCCCTGCCCGGGCGCCCCAAGGTCACCTGCCCTCCTTGGCGCCCCTACCCAGCCCGAGCTCTCACCAGAACAGCAAGTTGGCACCCACGAAGCCSAGCAGGCTGCGCAGCGGCCTCTTCCAGCTCAGGAGCTCCTCGGCGCAGCAGCCCAGCCACAGCACCGGCTCCCCGAGCAGCCAGGTCACCGCGGCGGGCACCCGGCCCGCGGCCTCCTCCACCTGCGGCCCCGCGCCGGCTGCCGCCGCGCCTTCCTCTGGGGCTTCCTCCTGCGCCTCCTCTTCCAGGGGAGCCTGGGGCGGCGGCCGCTGTAGTGCCAGCTCCCCGGCAGCCGGAGCCGGGCATCCTTCCTCGGCGTTCTCCTGGGGCGCCGCGCTCGCCATCTTCAGCGGTGCTACCAGGCGGGGACCGAGACGCGCGCGCCTGGCTGTCGGCACGAGAGAGCGGCGGGCGGCGGCGAGTCCGGGCGCGGGGTGCTCGCCGCGGGGCGCCAGCGGCTGGGTGCCTTGTGACGTCAGCCCGGGCCGCGGCGGGGGCGCAGCCCGGGGGAAGTGGGTGCGGTCAAGTTCGCGCAGGGGCGGGGCCCGAGCGCCGAGGGGCCGGGCGGCATCCTGTGCGCGGTGGGTGCTGGCTGGGCGGTGGCTCCGGGGAGCCCGAGTCCCCTGGATAGCCTCGCCGGGATCCGACGAAAATAACCCCCTTTCCCTTCCAGCGGCGGGGGAGGGCCAAGGAGAGGATCGCTGCCGGCTGGCTTATCTAAAAGGGAGTCCAGGCTACGGGTCAAATAAATGGGACACTCACTTTCTCAAGCCAGGGCCACCGATCGCCTGTCCTATGGTCTCCGAGGACATTATCCGAACTCCCCCTCCCTTCTTGGCAGCTCATTCCAGTCCCCAAGGACCCATCCCCCAGCCCCAGCCCCGCCCGGTGCCCTTTCTGGGACGCCTGCATGCATTACCATAACCATAGCAAAGGTCTTCTGCACCCTAGGAATAACATGCTGATACAAATGCTGGATTTAAAAAGGAAGAAAAAAAAAACATCAACAACATCTTGGGTCAATTAAAGAGTTGCCGGCCCTCTGATTTTACTAGTTAGGAAACACCAGGCCGCAGTGATGGGTGCTCCTCCTCTTAGCTTGGAGCTGTGATTTGGGTCAGAAATGCAGGTTACTCTGTGCAAAGTACAGTGAGCTGGTAGCCGAGAAGCAAGAACCTCTGCGTAGCCTGGATGCCTTGCCCTGGACTCTCTGCACGTGTCCAGCTGGGTGTGGTAAGCTTGGGCGGTGGTTACTTAAGAGTCACTATGGTCTCRGCGTCAAGTGGGTGTCAGGGAGATGACACGGAATTCTGAAACCTCCTCTTCAGAGGTCTCTTTGGGGCTGGTACTCCTGGGCGAGTGTGGTGAAAGGGGAAAGCAAAATAATTGTTCAATGCTCACTTTTCACCGTCTACATGTTGAAAATCGCCTCCTCTGTGATCCCGTTCTTGGTTTTTTCTAAAATAAAGTAAATAAAGTCTTCCCTCAATCCTGAGAATTCTACCTGCAGAAGAATCAGGACATGTCACGTCCTCCCCTGCACCAGCCTGCCTTCACAGAATGGATAGAATTGGGCTCATTCCCAAGCAATTAAAGCCCATTAGCAGGGTGGTGGCACAGGCCTGTAATCCCAGCGAATGGGAAGGCTAGTCAAGGCCAGCCTGGACAACTTAGAGAGACCTTGTCTTAAAAACCAAAAAAAGATTGGGGGTTGGGGGTGTAGCTCAATGGTAGCCTCCTCACTGGGTTAAATCTCCACCAGCGTTCGCTCGTTCGCACACACACACATACACACACACACACACACACACTACTTCAACAAAGGAGTCTGGGTAATATTCTATAATGCTCATGCTCATCTGGATGGTCATTATATACCTCTGTGTATGCATATKATCTGTGCAGTGTAGATGTGGGCTCTTACCTGTGTAAAATGTGCTGCATTTAAAAGTGATATATGCCCTTTGAGGTCACTCAAAGGTTTATAAACACTTACTGTGTGCCCATGCATTACTAAGCTCTGTGGATACGGCTTCCACCTACAGAGGCTCACAATCCAAAAAGGCAGCAATTACAATTGTGATAACTGCTGTGATCAAAAGCATTGCTAAATGTTAAGAGATTTCTTATTTAAATTCTGCATCAAAAATTAGGGAAGGAGGGGCTGGGGATGTGGCTCAAGCAGTAACGCGCTCCCCTGGCATGCGCGGGGCGCTGGGTTCGATCCTCAGCACCACATAAAAATAAAATGAGGATGTTGTGTCACYGAAAACTAAGAAATAAATATAAATATCTCTCTCTCAAAAAAAAAATAGGGAAGGAGGAGCTGGAGCTGGAGCTCAGTGGCAGAGCACTTGCCTAGCATGTGTGAAGCACTGGGTTTGATCCTTGGCACCACATAAAAAATTAAACAAATAAAGGCATGCTGTCCTTCTACAACTATAAATAAAAAAAATAGGGAAGGAGCTGGGCACTGTGGCTCATGCCTGTCATCCCACAAGGCTGAGGCAGGAGGATCAAGTGTTCAAAGCCAGCCTCAGAGATTTAGCAAGGCCCTAAACAACTCAGGGAGACCCTATCTCTAAATAAAATATAAAAAAGGTCTGGGGATGTGGCTCAGTGGTTAAGCGCCCCAGAGTACCAAAAAAAAAAAAAAAATGGAGAAGGAGGGATGGGAGTGTAGCTCAAGGGTAGAGCACTTGCCTAGCATGCATGAGACCCTGAGTTCAATCTTCACTACTGCAAAAAACGTTTAATTAAAGCTTAAAAAAAAATAGAAAAGTAGTGGAGTAATCAGGTTTCTGGAGGATTTGAGGATAGTTGGCATCTGCCTTGACTTGTAAGACACAGCGAAGTACAGTGGAGGTGGGGCAGAGTAGGGGTAATAATTCCTAYTGGGAGTTCAGTATGAGAGAAGGTATGAGTTGCAGGAGGAGTTGCACTGTTGGTCAAGCATATTGGCCCAGGGCCTTGAATGATCCTCTAGTGACAGGAGGTTTGGTTATCCTGAAGGCAATGCAGAATATCTGACATTTCCAACTTGCCTTCCTAGGAGTAGCCACATGATAACTGACAGAGAGTGACCTAGGAAGCAATGAAAAAAACAATGTAGAAAACATTCAGGTATTTTTTCCACCAAAGACTCTTTTCACAGATGTAGGTCCTCCCTCTGGAGGAAATTTCGATAAACAAATATACTTTATTGTATGCTTTGGTCTTTGGGTTAGCACTTGAGACAGCTCAGAATTATGAYATCCTGAAATTCATTTCTAGACACCCTGTGCTGCTGCTGGTCCTGGGAACACAGGGCAGAGGAGATGGGGAACAGGCATCCCCGCTGGCTAGGCCAGAGTTGATGTGCTTTCAGAAACGTTTGCAAGATTCTGCATGTTACTTTGCTCCCCTTGAATTCTAATTATTGTCGTCAAGATTCATTGAAGTAGTAAAAGCTGTTGGCAACCAAGATACATAAAAGCTGAGWTCCAGTAGCTACCTGTGGTTTGTAACACTTGTTATCTCCCTTTAATGATAAATCTCCCCATGAACGGATCTGCATTGTGAAGTGTTTTCTTCCTCTGTCTTAAAATTACTATGGAGAAAGGGCTGCACAAAATGGTTTTGCATACAAGGCTGGACTAATTGCTCTAAATATGTCTTTTTCACCTCTGACCTCTAATAAGTACTGACAAATTGTGTGAAGGAGTAGACACTGGCATAGATGCATAAATGGGTGCGACTGGGTGGTTTTTTTCCTTTAATTATCTTTGTGATGCTTGAATAATTTATTCAGCACTGAGGCAACTGAAAGATGATGTCAATGCTGGCTACAGTGAACCTCATCCCCAGGTTTCAAGGGGTGTTGGAAACTTTTGTTGGTAACCTTAGCATTTAAGATTTCCTCCTGAATTTTGCTTTGCCGGATGTTGAGAACAAAGTGATAAACACGAATAAACTAGACAATTTGACAATATAAATTTAAGAAAAGCAAGGAAACTTGGCATATACCTGAGACGAGATGTTACTGAAAGTTTAGTCCTCACCCCTGATGCCAATCCAATGATGAAGACAAAGTTTTGAGAAAAGGGAAAAAGGAGATTTATTTCTTTCCTAGCAAAGGAGAAACACAGGGGGCTCTTGTCTCAGAGGCTGTGATTCTTCCCCATTAAAGGGAGCAGGGTGTTTTTTTTTTTTTTTAAAGGTGAATCAGAGAAATCCCGTTTCCCAATGTTAGGGAGGAGAGATTAGGAAGGAGAGCAGGGAGGAGAAGGTCAGGGAAAAGAAAAAGAGGGAGGAGAAGGTCAGGGAAAAGACAATCAGGGAGAAGAAGTTTGGGAACAAGAAAAAAAGTGTCAGTTTTAGAGCAAAAAGGGATATAGTCAAASCATAAAGTGCATCCCTGTTACAAAAACAAGAATGAGATGAAATATTTGTGAACTCTGAGTCAAGGAGACAGTTTAGGAAATAATACAGCTGCAGAAAGAAAAAAAAAAAACAGTCATACATATACACTTACAAACTCTCCAGAAGAGGCCACTCACCTGTCTCTTCTAAAAGTAGGTAGAAAGCTTGTAATAGGAGAGAAAATAATGAATAATTAATTCCCACTCTAGAAGGTCTCATGGGGCAAAATCAAGCTAAGCCTTAGAATGAGAGGGATTTATAACAGTATCATTACTTGTTTCTTAACACATTTCATAGTGGATCCTAAATAGGCCCATGTTCCTTGRATGAAAGAAGCCAGGTATATGTGCTACTTTGTTTATCAGTCCTACAGGTGGAGTTTTCGTGTGTTGACAATTTTATTAAAGCCATTTCACCTTCCTCCTCTTACATACCCTCTATTCCTTATCCTAACTTTTCCTAATTTTTCTCTTWCTGAGCCAAGAAACCCTAAATAGCTCACTCTAAGTATAAATAAGATCATCACCCAACAGTAGTGACAGAGCGAATAGGAAGGAAGATTATATCTTTCTCTAAAGGTCCTCTGACCAGATGAATTTCCAAGGCCTAGCTCAGTGACTGACTCTCAAAAGGAATTCACTAGTTCTGTTTTGGGTTGAACGTCTGTTGTTCATATACAAATGAGACTATCCAAACTAGAGTAGCTTGTATTTGACAAGCATTCTATAAAGGATATGCTTCCCAGAAATGACAACCTCACACCAAGAAGGTGGCCACCCAGACATCTATTTGGGTATCCAGTTTGTATATGGCTCCCTAATACCCACAAGGGCTTTTTTAAGGGTTCAAAATAGCCAATGAAAAGGAGTCACACTGTCAGTCCATTTTCTACTGCTACAACATAATACCAGTTCATTTATAAAGAAAAAAATGTAAGGCCTGGGGCTATATATAGCTCAGTGGCAGAGTAGTTGCCTAGCATGTGTGAGGCACTGGTTCAATCCTCAGCACCACACAAAAAATAAATTAATAAACAAAGATACTGTGTGTCTCTACAAC